ATTAATTCTCTGATGATGGAAATCAGCTAAAGTGGTTAAGTTGCCTGTAATGGGTCAAATGCAAGCTCACTTGTTTGCACACAGCCTCAGCACCATGGACAGGGCTTATCAAGGTGTTTTGGTGTTTGGAATTAACTAATTTCACCTTGTTAGTTGCCACCTGTTCACAGAGGTCTAGTTACTCGTTGGACTGTTTTTTATCCATGGCTCGGTTGTAAGATGTTTTGTATACAATGGTGCCAGAATGAGTTTTAGAAGTGGGGAAGCATTCAGCTAAGATGCTAACCTCCTTTCAATTTCAGCCTAGCCTGCAGTGTTTGTACAACTAAAATATTGTAAGAAATCAGTGGCATCAGTGTACAGTTTATTGAGGCCGTGGTATTCCTACAGGTCACCAGTAGGTCATTTTATACAGTGAGGCCCCAACTATTATATAATGATCTTTGTGCAACTCCAATACTGTTTTTGGACCCCAGAATGCAGAAAGATTCAAGTACACTAGGCAGAAATAATACATTTATACTACATACAAGAAACTGCCTGTGATTAGCATAGTGGGGCATGTTTGTGAAGGGGAGACTCGTGGAACCTACAACCTATTTTCATTCAGGTATCTGGATGTCAGAGGTCAAGGGATCCCTTTGACACCATGTCAGTTATTCCATGACCAAAATGAAAACCTAACTTTCAGAATTATTCAGCCCCCTTACTGTCAAGCTAGACATGGTGGGTGCCTTAGGTCTTCTTGCTGCATATGATACCAGTATCTTCACTCTAGCTGTAAAACTGAGCCCGCTACCTCCTCTGAAAGGCAGTAATGTCAGTCGTGGAAGTATTTTGTCAGTGCAGAGTTGAAGAGGTTACCATAACACCTGAAAGTGGGGGGACAAAAAGTCTTGTTGTCCCCACTATTCTGGCGCCAGTGGTTGTATAATAATCTTTATTGTCCCAAGACGGAGAGTAGTTTATAATGAGTAGCTTTAACCTTCATAAGAATACTTCATGTGTATATATTGCATTCAACATACATGTGAAATATAATCAAATTGCAATATATTCCACTGCAACATTCAAACTGCAGAAGCTGCAATCTTTTGTTAAAGGTGAAATGTGTGACAATACAGCATTATAATGTACTAATTTTAAGTACTGTTCTTCTGAAGAAATACCCTGGCCTAAAATCTGGTTCTCCAGATGTAAGAAAACATTTGGTGTGTTTGGTACAAACCCCAACAAATGTCACATCATCATGATTTTAATAATGTTTTCAGTGAAAATGAAAAGTGTGATGCAAAAATGATCATTCCCATAAATCGGGAATCATATCACAATTGTAAAATGAGTAAAGAAAATTGCAATATTATATTTTTACAATATCGTGCCGCCCTGCATTTTGATTTAAACATAAATCTAGCTTCAAAAATGTTTTTGAATGTATTTGGAAAAAATTTAGATGGGGTGTGTGACAGTACTTAACACTATATTACAGTAGTGTTTTGTTGTATTATCATTAATTAGCCTCTACTTATTAGTGCCCACAGGAGGAGTTAAAGTTGTTGACAAACACATTAATAAACACTTATATCTGCTTGACATTGCAATGTATTATAGTCAGTAGTATCATAGTTAAACCATTTTTGTAATGTTCATATACTGCTTATAAATGCTAAATAGACTTAAAGTCAAGTGTTGCCCTTAAAACCATTAGTAAAGGATTAATATAGTAGTTTCTCTACATACATACATAAATACACATTGTGGTGCCTTTAAGGTAGAGCCAACATTAGGTCTATACAACTCAAAAATATACCCTCTGTGTATGATTAAGTGTATGATTAATCTGTACTAAGAAGTTTGTCCACTCTTGCTGATGATACACGATGAACAAGAAAGTGTGGTGGCTGTCATCTTAATACATCATTAAATCTTTCTGGAAAGGCTGCTTCGTGTAGTTGCTGCATAGTGACCCGGGCAGGGAGTTTTAAGTGACATGATAATTGAATTACACTGTGGCAGCAGCTCCAGCATAGATGTTCTGGAAATACGCCCTCCAACCATTATTCGAATTGTTTAATTGTGTCCTTTGCTGGATTTTCCTGACTCAAATGTATTGCTGGCAAACACTGGCGTTGTAAAAACTCTCCTGAGGAACATGCTGACTCGAGAAACCGCGATAGTGCAGGCCCAAAGAACAGAATATTTTTTATTGATAGTTTGATGCAAACATGTGGATGCTACAGCTTGTGACCAGAACACACAAAGTTAATAGAAATTGCTCTGCCAACTCCGTCAAATTCCCTCCTCAGGAGGGAAAAGTGAAAGTCAAACGATAGATAAGATTTGATATGAAGGATGCAATGAAACAGAAATCACACATTACTTCATTACCAGTGGATGCGCCAAAGAGGAAATACTAGTTGTAGTTGATAGACAGCCAATCAACCAAACACACTCAAAACAAACTTCTTTTTAACCATTGGGGTAGGGCCAGATCAAGCTGGCAGAGCCCCTTCCCCTGATTGATTTTCTAAGGGAGACAGGAAGTGCCTTAAAATGAGAATGACAGGATCACAGGCAATAAAAGAAAGGCAGGTATCAGAGAGAGCAGAGTTTAAAACAAATTAACTGTGATCACATAAGGGTGGGAAATCACAGCACTGCAACCAATAACACATAGATTTAATATAAATCAATCAGGACCTTTTTCACAGCCGCCATTTTACCATGAAATAGTAGGGTTAAACACAGGTGTTACCAATGATACTAATTAAGGCTTTGTTCCATTTAGTGTAGCAGAGCCAACATGCACAATAACAGCACCCTGACTCTGTTTGACCTGAATGAAATGGAACCTTAATTGGTAACACCTGTGTTTACCCTACTATTTTATGTCAAAATGGTGGCTGTGAAAAAGGCATATTATTACTGATTTGGTGCACATGTAATGCAAATGTAATGCAAGAGCTGCTTTTAATTATTTAAAGTTTTTTTTTTCTAGCAGCATTACCTAAGATAGTAAAAATGAATATATTTTGGTTTTGGACCGGTAGTTGAACAAAATTAAATATTAGAATTTAATAGATAATAGTCATATAATAGAAATAAACCAATTGTCTGCTGATAAGCTGAAAATTAACATTAACAACGTTCATGTGAAAGAGAACTAAATTCTGGACAAATTTCCTAAAGGGCAGGTGACCAAAAATTGTTAAAAAGCGCCTGAGCACTTGTTCTTTATTGCTTAACTTTATCCTACATGCTGATGGTCTACAGATGACGGTCTGTACGAGTCAGGCCAGCTGCCCTTGCTGTATGCTAAAGAGAAGGCCAAAAGTCAGGGGGCGAGCTGACAGAGGGAGGGGCAGGTTGTCTCCTATTACTGCAATGACCGCCAGAACTCAGCCAGACTTGTTATTCCCTTTCCCAATCCCTTTGCTTTCTGTATAACTACAACACCTGCTGCACTCCTCTCTCACTCCAAACTTCAGCCTATAGCTGCCTGAGAAAGTGGGAACACAGGTGTGTGCTTTTGTCTAATGTGTGTGTGCTGCTAGTGAGCAAAGAATGGCACGCTGGAGCTGGTGGTGTTATTGTTGATCCACCCAGCAGACAGCCATCAGCTCCTGGGGGATTAAACTAATTTTTAAAGAAGCAGTCATCCCTCAAACACTTTGTTGGTAATGTGCCTTCTGTTTCTGTGATGTTTTTTATGTTTGATTGCGTAATAAGCATGTGATTATTACCCCCCCCCCCCGACCTGTCACATGGGGGTACATCCAGTGCAGCCACAATATCCCGTGATGGCTGAATTGAAGTATTGCAGTCGCAGTGTTGAACTAAATTCTTCTAAAATAAAATGTTGTGTAATGCTATATATATATCCATTATCCTATTTCTGTACTTTGCATATGCATCTTGCTCCTGGATGGCGTCCTATACAGGTACAATTCTAATCAAAATACGACTGACACATTAAGTATAAGTGTTAGTAGGATGTATTTAGAAATGTTAATAATATGCTAAATTTGCAGTAATAAACTGAAACTTGCCTTGAAACAATTATGATCACAATGTTATGGATCTTGTCATTCAGTCCATCATGACACTTTGGCCTCTTAAATGGTTGAAATGTCACTTTTGATGGCTCAATTAAATTGTATGAGGTCTAAAAGGCTGCAGCTTACCTCGCAGTTTTTCATTACTAGCGAGGAGGTGGAATGTTAGTGGATCGTATAGCTCGTATTTAATGGCACAGCTACTGCTGCCAAGCTAGCAAAACTTACTGAATGATTTGTTGCTGCTCGGTTAATAGCCACTTTGTGAAAGGTTATTTGTCATATGAGCATTTGCATGTTTTTTTTAGAGCTTCTTGTGCTGGAATTTTCAAACGTGCTGTAACACATCTCTATGGAGTGTCTCAATGGTACCTCTATGTATTGTTGGCATGAAATAGAAGCTGAAATAAATAGACAACAACTTTGTTCTTTGGTAGGAATACTATCACTAGACCCATGTCTTTATTACAGTAAATTAGCACAACGTCAGATAGACCTGCTATCATGTCCTGTAGAGTAAATGTCCAGGATTTTGTCTTGGTGGCACTGAAGAGACAAACTGACTGCTCACAGTAAGACACCAGAACCTCACAGTTTGTTAATAAAAACACAGCACAAAAGGAAAAGACAAAAGACATCCTTCCACCACGCTAAAATCTGCATCCTGTCTTTTATACTTACTACAGATACATTTGGAAATTCCTGCCATTGTGAAAAAAATAAATAAGGAGAAAAAGTCTCTTTTTTGTCATTCAAGACACTAATATTATGTTATTTAAAATGATTACAACATAAATTATTTTTTTTCTCATTAAACACAGATTAAGTTATAAATTTACAATTGTCTCAAAAGACTAAAACCGATTTCTTAACTAATAAATACAAATACTACACAAAATGCTTCATAAGGCTTAATGTCATTTTCCTAGCATGTAAAAAAATGTTTATGAGTTAATATTATTGCCCAGAAATGTAATCAAAATGCAGCATTATGAAGGCATCATAATACTTTTTTCAGGTCTGTATATTAAGGGATAATTACAGTGGGCCAACATAGTTTCCATAAGAATTGATACAAATACTTAAATCGTGAGGATTAATTCTGCTTTTTGTTGTGATTGATGGATGTCTTGAGAAAATTTGATTGTAGGCAACTATTATTTTCGTGTCTGTCTTGGCTTCTTATTATATTTATACCTAAAATATGGAAATGAATCACAAAAACATCCATGTCATTGTTCACAAATGTAATTGATTTGTATTAAACAGTACATATAAAATAGCATCCCTGAATGCCACCAACTAATTGCTTGATGCTTAATCAGCTGTATTTAAAAGCTGTCTGTGGTGACGCTGATGACCTGTGGCTGCACTCTGTTCCTGTTACAGCTGAAGAGCCAGGCTGCCCTCCTGTGGCGGTAGCGCTTTGACAGCAGCACGTACAGCACAGGGTTGATACAGGGGTGCAGGTACTGCAGCACAGTACAGATAAAATAGAACATCTCCCAAGCCTGTCCATGGCGATACAGCCCCAGGTACACACACAGCTCCAGCACATAACCAGGCAGCCAGCACACTGAGAAGGTGGCAGCAGCCAGGAACACCATGACAGAGGCACGACGGGTGTTCCTGGCACTGGACACTGACATTACAGGGCTCTTGTGGAGAAAGAGAGCCAGCCGGACGTAGTTAAAGGCGATGACTAGCATTGGAACAAAGTAGTAAAGTACAAACTGGCTTAGGACCACTTGGTAGTGGTGCTCATGAATGGTCGGAAGGCAGAAGGTGAAGTTGGCCATGCTTGGGCCCAGGCTGTCTTTGGTGGCAAACATACGCAGTGGCAGGCTGATGAAGAAGCTGAGGGCCCAGACCAGGACAAACATGAGGATGACCAGGTCCATGGTGGGTGGCTGGTACGGGTTGGTGATGATCATGGCGCGGGTCATGGACACGGCACACAGCGAGTAGGTGCTGGCCGCCAGGCTGAAGGCCAGCAGGAACTGGTAGACCTTGCAGGAGGTATCACCCAGAGGCCAGGAATGGATTACAGCGGAGTGCAAAGTGAAGGGGATGAGGAGGAGGGTGAGGAAGTCAGCCAGAGTCATGCTGAGTAGGAGGATGTCGAGGCGGTTCTTACGCAATGTGTTGTACTTTGCAAACAGAGAGAAGACCAGCAGGTTGGCACAGAGCCCAATGCCCAGGATCACTCCACAGGTACAGGCAAAGATCAGCCCATAGGTGTTGGGAACAGCCATATTATCACTGACGTGAAATCACCTTTCAAAGAAAATTAATTAATTAGCAAGTATTTTTGTAATTTTCTAATTGTAATTTGCAAAAATTCCAAATATTTTCTTGGTACAGTTTTTCTAAATGCTTCTTTTGTCATACACGTAGTTAACTTGATATCTTTGTTAAACATATTTGAATACGTCACATTGGGCCCCAGGAATTGGGCCCAATTTTCTGACATTTTGTAGACAAAACAAGATGATTAGATTGAGGAAATATCTGTTGATTGATTCTATAATTAAAATAGTAATTAGGTGCCTCCCAATTTATGTTATTCCTAATGAAAGGGGAAAGTTACATTTCATATGAGGAAAAAAAACAAACATTGTCTCTAGCTTGGCCAACTGATTTTTTTAGTTAATCAGGTGGCATCTGAAAGGATTTTGTAGACTTACAGTGATAGAAATGTATATATCATATAACTTAATAAACCCAGTAAAATCACGTGATGTATTTTTACATAGCAACAGCAATTTGGTTGTCTGTGAAGATATTATATGTCCTTTTTTTTACACATCCACAAAATACATATACAGTATTACACAAAACAAATAGTAAGTATAACATGCAACACAAACATAACTATATACAATTTACAATTTCATTAACATTTTGACAACAGTTTTATGTTTCAACTGAACTAGTGTGCATTTTAAAATGGTGTCAGATGTAACAATTATCCATCAATTTGATGTACTCACCATCGTCGTTCCTCAAAGCAGTACCTTCAGGCTCATGTTTGTGAGTGAACTATCCTCATAATGTAATCTGGAGAATTCTCGTTTACTGTTGTCCATCCTGTTAAACTGGACTGAAGAAGAGAGAGGTGGCAGCCTCTCAGGACTCATTACAAAGTGTGATTGCTGAATGTAGAGGGAAGAAAGGCAAACATCACTTGGGTCAAATTGATTCTGGTTGACTGGGTTTAAAGAGAAATGGCCTCAGACCAGCTGCTGCAGAACAGGGATGTGCCATATATGCCTGGTTTGTTAATATTATTAGAGGACGTATGTGTAACAGCTTCACTTGACATTGGGAACCTTTGTAGTTGATTGTGTGTCTACAGTATATCAATCTTTTTGTGACCCTTTTTAGGTAGCTTTAAACACTGACCTTTCCTGACCTGTTGAAGTCTTCTCTCTTTCTATGGAGATTGTTTTTGAGATTTGGGACTATATGCAATATATTTAAAAATCTGCACTCTCCAAAGAGCAAAAGACCAGTCGATTGATTACGTTCTCTGTTCCTCCCCTTCTCTGGAGATATTAATGTCTGTCTCCATTGTTTGATTGATTTCTTCCGTGTGAGCTACAGGCTCCTGACAGCAGCTTTATCAGGCTTTCCACAGCATTTATGACTCTGTGTCAGCTAATGGCCTACGGTGTACACTGCTGCTCTTAGCACAGGATATAGCTGATGCTGGTGCATTTGCTAAACCCCCCCCATTACCAGTGTCTGTGCCGTGCAGTCACGGGCTGTTAAAAATGCCACATGTTCTCAAGAGGGACATTAACTGCTTCGTTTTTGTTCTGTCGCTGCTGAAAAGTCAACAAAAACATTGATGTTTTTTTCCCCCTCATCCTCTTTACAGTTAATTTTTCAAAAACATTTTTGAACCAAAAAAAAAAAAAAACCCTGATCCACCTCAATAACAAGGTTAAAAGTCATGATAAAACCAGCTCGACCAAAATTAAAAGGTATTAAATGTTCAGATGCTCAAAGACACTTCAGCAGGACTTTTTCTATTAGGTAGTCTAGGTAGTGTGCATACAGGTCTGCTCCTTATCAGCTTGAGCTTTTAGGGATAAAATGGCTAACTGACCATGTTGTTTGATGTATTACATTGAAGAATATCATAAAGCTGAAATAATTAGTTGACTAATCGATCACTTGGCAGGAAACTGTCAACTATTTTGATGATCTATTTATAGTTTAAATCACTTTTCAATCAAATATGCTATTTGTTGGCTCCAGATTCCGTCACCTTGAGTTCTGTGACATTGTGACAGGCATTTGTAACTTTATTCTAACATTGTGTACACACAACCTCAGGTAAAATAGGGAGCTAACCCTAAACCTAACCTGCAGATTAATATGATCTGTAATCAATCTTGAAAACAAATCTGTACATCATTTCATGCACATTACTCTAAGTAAAAACAAAACTAGCATTCAGTGTGTGTGCCAGGTGTTCAGTTCCACCACTTAAAATACAGTCATGGGTAGTCTGAGTATCTGATTTGTCATTAGGGCTGCAACTAGCTTTATTTTTACTATCAATACATTTTCGAATTATTTTCTCAACTAATTATTTGGTCTATAACATTAGGATACCCATCACGATTTTCCAAAGCCCTAAGTGACGTCTTTGAAATGTCTTGTTTTCGTCCACAACAAAATCCTGATCAATTTAATATCACAAAAGACAATTAATAGCAGCAAATCATCATATTTGAGAAGCTCCATTAAGGCAATGTTTACCATTAAAAAAATAGATTTTCTGTCGATCAACAAATCATTCTAGCTCTACCTGTCATAAATGCTAAGTTGCACATTTGAGCCACATATGGCTGGTGAACAAAGACACCGTAAATCAAAAATATTTCTAATGGCTACACTTTTAATGTTTGATTAACTGGAAACATGTACAGTATGTCCTCAGTGCAAGTGAAGAACATTAAATGAGTCTGAGAGCCGCCGTCTCAGGCTTGTTCTATAAAAATAAACTATAATGTAAAACGGTGAGAGTGGGTTTGATGAAGCATCCAATAAGTTACAAGTCCATGAGGGATCTAAGGTGGGAAAGGAAAGCAGGACCATCAAAAAGAAACATCAAATTAAAACTCAACCACACAAGAACATGAACAGGATATAACTAAAGTGCATTATGGAATTTAGTCAGCAGCACCGTGATACATTCACAAAATAAATACACACTTTAAAAGTGAAATAAATTATGGCAGAACAGTTCCAACAGATGTATTCAGCGAACAGTTTGCATGTAACTATGTCCACGACAGTCAACACACATAGAGCCAAACAATAGTAGACCACTCAGCTTCCAAATTTTGTGAAGTTACATTATATTCAGGTAATAAATAGTTCCTCCTATGATTTACTTGCACACACAGCTGGATAGAGATGACAACATATGGCATTGTTTGGATGTAAATCAGGGTTACAGAGGCCTACAGATTTTCCAAATAAATATGGACTGAAGAAGATGTTATGATGAAGTATGAGATTGAAAATACAAACATAGCAAATTATTATCATACAAGCACAACTCCAGGGCCGTAATATGAAGTGACTGAGTCAGCCATGGGTTAAGTCTCTCAGATCCCAGTCTAGTTGTACCTACATCAGTGTCTTAGTCCAGTACCATATAAAGGCTATTGGCAGTCTCTTAGCCGGGGTGCTACGTCCTTCATGGCTCCTTTGATGCGACAGACCGCGCCCGCCTCCGTTTTTTGTCGCTCTCTCTACGTCGGCCTAACCTCACCTTTTTTTTCCTCTTGGTGGCCACTTTTAGTGGCTGGTCCTTATAAGCCAGAGCCTTGTTGGTTTCCTGGGGCAGGTTAGGGCCCTCTCTGTCCAGCCTGAACCTGTCAGGGAGATTCTTTGTGGCCCCTGGGGGCTTCTCGTGCAGGGAATTCCCACTGAAGGTTTGGCTCTGGGTTCTGCTCTGCACAAGTGGCGCTCGGTCATCAGCCGTGTGCACCTCCTCGAGCAGTTCATGCAGCCACATGCGACGCTTGAACTCCTGCAAGGAGCGGCCCTTGTCATGCATCAGCTGGACGTGGCTTACTGACCTCCTCCTTAAGGCATGGAAGTGAAAAGACGGAATCAGATCGACAAGGGAGGTTGCATTAACGCTAATAACATCCTAAAACAGCATCATGCATGAGAGGGGAGCAGTACCAAATTAATTTTTCTCTAAGTCTGTCAAAAATGTGATCTTCTGTCCTGTCTGATTTCAACTAAATTACCAGTGACACAATGAAACCAGAATTCATTATCTCTGAGTTGGCACCAACAAAATCTCACAATCTTATTTTATGCTTTTTTGTAATTTCATGGTACACCACACTGTCATTTGTGGAACAGTTAAAGAAGTGGTGTCAGCTGAAATGCAAGGTCAAGCACCAGAAAACTTCAGTACAGTAGGTGGCAGCATAAACAAGTGTGTGAGAGCCGTCACTAATCTGAGCTCAAGAATCCAAAATGCCATAGTTGAAACTGAGAAAACATTAGTTAACTTAATTTAATTTGTACAGGTAAACTGTAAAATCCAAACAAAAGGAATTTAAAAAAAGGTGACTTACTATGTTCAATTATGAACTAGTTTTTTAAAGTTGCATGCATAACAATCAATGGTTCTATGGTTATCAAAATAAATATAAAAAAATAACTCACGTTCTGCTACCAAGTTCATCAACTGGTCTCCCATCAAGAGTCACTGGAGAGCACAGCAAGAACACAGCCAGACTCCACTGATGAAGCATTACTATAGAGCACATCCTTGAGCTTAAGATCTGAAGAACACAGGAAATATTATATCAGTCACTTTAATTAATTAAGCAAAACATTGTTTTATGAATTTATACTAAACTTTTTATCTACTATGATACTTTATGTCAGTAGCAGTGTCGACAACTGAAAAATGACCTTGTTCCTGCGTACGTGAGGTCTCCCAGGCAGCATTACTTGTGCCAGTAAATTGTTTATAAAAGTAAAGAAGAAACTCAGACTTACATGGTGTGAATGTTAACAGTGAAAATCCACAAAAAGGTCTGTCTGCAAGCTCTTAACTGCAAAAATGGATTTACAAAACAATACGAAACATTATTCTTCCAGAAACAGTTTGGCCAGTTCAAAACTTGTGTCCAGGTCCATTTGTGTGAAGGCAGCCTGGGGAAATCCCCCGTCAGTCTGTTCCATTCATTTGCCTCCCAACAGTGTGTGCTGAGCTATTTATTTCTCCCCAGCGTCCCAATTAAAAGAGAGATAAAGATGGAAAGAGCAGCAGCAGCAGCCCATCAGCTGCAGAGCTGCCACTCCACTCAGTCTTGCAGTAATCTCATGAAGAGTAAAGATGAAGCATCTTCTCTAATGGCCGGAGAGCAGAGCTGAGAGGGTTTTTCAGTCCAGCAATGTGAGCGAGTCTGTGTGAGTCTGTCTGAGAGAGGCACAGAGAGAAAGTCAAAACTGCTCTTTGGGTGAAGATGCAGGCACTACCTTAGACCCTACCCATTAAGTCCAGTCCTAACACCCTCCCCAACCACCCCACCCTCCCCTCTCTCCCTCCCCCCCGACCCTTCACACACACCTGCTGTGACAAGAAGGTGGTGCCCATGCAACATCCAAACAACCATACAACAAAGAGTATACTTAACTCGAGATTAGAAAAAATGCATTTTTAATCAATTTTAAATCGTTTTAGCTGTACTTTTTAAATAAAATATACTAATAATTTCATCATAAAGAGGTCAAAAATGACAGGTGTGCTCCATTGGAGGTAATCATGGGTTACCAAGCGAGAGTGTATAAGGGGAGGGGCAGGGTTACTCCAAAGTAAACAGCCAGGCCTAACCACTTTCCCAGGGGAGAATGACCATAACCTCAGAGAAACCCAACCCACAGCCTCTCACTGCAGACCATTCAATTCACCTCCACTCTGCCTCAGTAAACCAGCTCACCACCGAATGGTTACAGTGGGCTCTGAGGCATCTCTCATATTCAGCTAATAAGGAAAGTGGAGCGCTTTGCATTAAAGCAGCCGTATACAATCCCAAGTTTGCTGTGTTGTTTAAGAGATAAAACCAGTCTGAAGCATCCAGCCACATTTGTGATTTCACTGAAAACATAATAAACATAATAACTACATGCATTAAAGGTCAGTCTCTGGCTAAAAGTGAATGCATGTGTGTAGTAATATACAACAAGGGCAGGGCAGTGTTTGTTTCTCAGCTGATTTCCTTAAAAAACACTTAATTTGTGATTTCTATCTATATACATACATGCATACATACATATATACACATATGTATATACATATATATATATACTGTACATTGATTACTATTACATGGATTTTGAAATTGATATATTTCATTTCATTAATATTTTCCAAGTTTGACTTTTACATTATCATTATTATTATTACTTACTTATTCATTATTACTAGGAGCTAAGTTGTAAACTTTCATTTAATTGGTAATCAACTGGTTTGTCACCTTTTTTAAATAATTTCTAAATAAGAAGATGTGAAAACAAAGACATTTGAGAGTCTACAGCTACGCTAGCTGCTCACTGAGGCTGTTTTTACGCACAGTGGTGCTTTGAGCTAAAAGCTATCATCAACATGCTCACAATGACGATTCTAACATGCTTATGTTTAAGTATAATGTTTACCATGTGCACCATCTAACATTTGCACCAAACAGAAAGTACAGCTGAGGCTGCAGGGAATCTTTATTTGTTTCACAGTTATTTGGCCCTAAAAACCAAGTATTGGGCAAATCAAAGTTTTGACCTGATGAAAAGTGAAGAGATTACTTAAGTTATTACAATTCCTCCTGAGGGCAACATGAATGTCCTTACCATATTTCCAACCACAAATGTGAACATCATGGTGGTGGTAGATTAGAAGTCAGAACATCACTAAACTAAAGTAGGATTCGTCCTCTGGGCAACATGAACGTCTGTACAGTTTGTCATTTGATTGTTGATTGTTTGATCGACAGATAGACTGCCGTCCCTAGAGCCGCTCTGCTAAAATGGCTAATGATGATCCTATGCAATAGTATTTATAGTCTGCAGTGTTAGATTAAAAATATTTTCCTTTAACTGAGGACCATAAACTGTTGATGCTCCATCCTGTCAAACGTTGTAGTGTGAATCACACAGTTGACAAATTCTGTCCACAACATTCATGTTTGATACTACTACTACAATACTAACATGTTGATCAAAGTGATCAAAGCATAAAATGTGATGTGATAGTACAGCCTGTGCTGACATTTGTATAGAAATTCTACCTCTGTACAAAATGCCCTACAGTTAATACCATTTTCATTATCATAATCCGTCTTGGTGTGTGTTTGGGGGGGGTGCTTTAACGATGGTAATGGAGGATTACCATGAAATGTTTGTACTGACATCCATGGTCACTAGAGGTTAAATTCCAATGACTTATATGATCTCCAGACCTTTTATTGTGCCGGCAGCAGGTTGATATTGTGGTTTGGTGTGAAATGTCCCAAAAACTGTTGGATGGATTACCATAGAATTGGTTTAAAAAAAACATTTGTCACATTTCTTTCCCTGCAGTCTTTTCTAGATTATATTAATATAATCATTATTAACCAGTGCTTGTTCTTTCTTTTTTAATTGTCATCTGTTATACTGATTTGGCTTAGATAAATGTTGAAACAGACAAATGTTAAATACTGCAACATTAACTCCACTGTAACATACATATACAGTATAAATATATAAATAAGAGTCTTTG